CTGTGCTACTTTGCAGGGCTGCAGCCAGGGCAATGGTTTGTACTGAAGTGGCAGTTACCTGTGTGTAATACTGCATTACGTGAAACGCCATATATGTTTGTTTCGTTGCATAAAGCAGCAATGCGTTAAGTATACTTGTTTGAAAATATTGTGAGATTCATTGGTATTGTAAAACCACATTTCCTCCCTGTGAAAACCTGTTGCCTCCTGTTTAATTTGTCCTGGTGCCGACTCTGGTGGTGATGGATTGAGCTGCTTTAGATTCAGATATTTCTAACGTTTTGTTACAGTCACATTATCAGAACATGCATTTGTCTTTAACACTGACTGCACATCTGAAGCTACTGCAGCACCAATCAGCTCTCTGCCCAGTCTCACCCTGCAAGGTTATTAGTGGAGACGCTCTTGGCTAGTGAGAGTCCAGTGCGAACTCGCCTGGACCCGAGGAGGGACTGACGAAGACTGTCTGAGGGATAGATGGCTGAGCTCGGACGCTCCTTCATCATCGGAGCTGGAGGCAAACACAGAGAAGAAGAAACTTTATTCTTCATCTTTGAAAAACAACAACACTGATCCTACATTTTCCATAATGCAACTGGATATGCGATGTGACAGACAGACAAGACAGGCACAGAGACAGACAGGTAGACTCACTTTTGGTCCGCAGAGCAACATTCTGCAAAGTTGAACTGTTTCTCGCCATCGCCAGCTTCTGTTGCTGTTTCAGAGAGAGAGAGAGACAGAGACATGTGGTCAGGCAGTCGAGGCAGACAGACAGGTATTCAGTAAAGACAAACGGGTCTTACCCTCTGCTTCATCTTGGCACAGCTGGCCAGACTGTCTCTGCAGCGGTTGTGGATGGTGACATTACAGGCTGGGAGAGCGACAGGTGAGAAAGAGACAAACAGTTGTAAGAGAGACAGGTGAGAGAAAGACAGAGAGACACACAAGTGAAAGAGCAACAGCGAGACAGACAGGTCTCAGGTCAGTAACATGTTGCTCACACTGTTTTTGTCCTGATGATGCCACCCAGTTTTCTCTGTAAAACAAGCTGGTTGTAAAACATTGGTGAGTTCAGTCTCTGAATGTGATTGGTTCATTCAGGCCATGCTAATCAGCCTGCTGTGAAGCTGAACTGCATGCTGGGTATTTATGTCAATAGAACTAAACTATAGGTGCTTCTCAGTACAAAGTTCGGCAGGTTCAAACTTCCATTCTTAAATCCAACCCCCCCAAAGGACAAGAGGACACACTACCAAAGAATGTACACTGCCAAGACGTTGAGCGCCAAACACTGTTTTCTCTTATTCAACTTAGAATTCACTTTCTCTGTCATGTCTGTGTCGATTAAGTTATTTGTCTGCAGGGTTTGTACTGTTCCTACTGGCGTTTTCACTCCAAAATGGCAACCGTTGTCAGAAAGCACCCATGTGGCCTCTTGGCATCTATACTCTTTGACGGCACAGCCAAGCTGCAACTGGAACACCAGCATCCCCGCTGACAGACAAAATGTAGCTGACCACTAATTAGAGCTAGCTAGTCCACTAGTGGGTTCTCATATCTCTTAAAATATCAGCATACATTTCCAGATCGGTATTACTTGGATAGACTGTATTGGCATTTTAAATGCTTCTCAGCTAAAAAAAAATAAAAGTCAAATGAGGTGGCATGATAGCAGTCCTTGTAAGAGCTTTGAGCCTGACTCTAAACTTCTACCATTTCTGTTAGTTGGCATGGAGTGCATTCTGGGGCACATGGTTCAGTCACACAAGTCGCTCCCGAAGCATCCTCGATAAAATGGTTAGAGAAAGAGCACTTCAACCCCTCTGTCTCACACACACACAGATGTGCTTGTTATGGTTTGCTGATTTGTCACTAAACAAACTGTAAACATAAACTTATGATCACAACATTACTGTGTCAGTTAGGCCCCTGGAACCTGCTCACAGATCCCAAACCGCTTTGAAAACTGACTTAACCTCTTCAAGGACCTGAAACCCTGTATTATGGGCTCAAACACCCACGAGCCCTGAAATTGTTTAAATCTATGACTGAATCTCCAAAATGAATTGCAGTATTTTCTGTTGTTTTTCTGGAAGGTGTGCTGGGTTCAGGAACAGCACAATAAAAATGAAAGCATTGTGGAAAGGTTACCTGGACAGCTGAGCGCCTCCTTGGCCGTGATGCTCCTGTTGCAGGAGGAGCACAAGGTGGTGGAGGACACGGTCAGGGAGGTGAACAGGTGACCGTTGCTGTGGCGGGCCTCCCTCTCTCTTGCCTCCTTCTCTCTCTCCTTCAGACGCTCCTTCTCCTTCTCCTTATTCTGAACACACAGAGAGACATGACGATCAGTACAGTATTGATCTTTATACAATAACTGATCAGTCAGTTTTTACTCTCAGGCTGAAGTGAACTTCAGGTGTCAGGAATTCATCTGTTCATTCATCTTTCAGTCATTTATTTCATCACGTTTCATCTCCACTTTGTATGATCTCACGGCTGTGACAAAGGGAACTGCGGCTGAAGTGTAACATCGGGAGCGTTAAAGCAGGTGTAAACACCCTGCTGTCAGTCGTCTGAGACCTCGTCAGAGTATGAACATGTTTGAGGAGGGAGAGGCTGTAAATTGCTTGCCAGATGAGAAAGTCAGGGACTCTTATGGGATTTCAGCTCCGAAATATGTTTGTTGGTTTCCATATTAAGGTTCAGTTGCTGTAATCCTGGACTTTTCTACTGTCCCTCTCGGTCCACAAGTGAGCAACAGCCTTCAGGCAGTAGGTCCAAAGCTGTGTGTATTCAAATGAACACAGGTGTGTCACTATGCTAATAAACACCCCACTAAATAAAAAAAATGCTGTGCCACAGTATTTTCCACTCCTTGACAGTGCGACAGGTTTAGTAAATATCCCCCATAGTTTTTCAGTCTTTTCCTGCAAATATCAACTAACACATGACCATTGATTACGTCTGGGTATCTAAAGTCTGAACAGTTATCATTTGTCTTATGATCAAAACATCTCCGTTTCTTTTCAGCTAAACATCGTATTCCTGAACATTTAAGAATAATTTCACTGGTGACCTCATCATAGTCACATTAGTTCATGCAGTTGTTAAAATAAATCAAACCTCGTACAGTCGCATCACAAAGGATTCACATGCCTTGTTGCACGTCTTACAATTGCAACAATACACAAATCTTAGTATACATTTTCAGATTCCTTTATGCATTCACAAATCCAAATGCATATTTGCAGATCTAGATCTGTGCACGCACGCCCACACAGACTGAGATGTAGATTCACAACTCTCCACATACATTTTGTACATAATACTTCTCCAACAATGACGCAGATACAAGAAGCTGTCTGTCTCTCTGAACTTCTCTTTTCTCTCCTGTGTTTTTCACATTAACTTCTGCTCTGAACTGGGAGGGGCAGGAAGTGGAAGTGTATGTCTGACTTTGTACAGTTGCATGGACATTTCTGCACTGAGAGGACATGTTGTTTGGTCTTCACTCCTTCAAAGGGCTGTTTGAGGGTTCACACCTGATTTTAGAGTTCAGGTTAGAACCAGATTTAGGTTAGGGTAAAGGACTAGGGCATGTGTTGTGTCAGTGATGGTCCTCACAATTATAGAGAGACCAATGTGAGTCCTTTCGTAACTAATGCATTCATTAGTTCTAGGTTAGACTATTGTAATACTCTGTGATGAGGGATTTTGCAAGCCTCTCTTTCTGGTCTTCAGCTAGTTCAGAATGCTGCTGCATACTCAGAAACAGGATCACATAACCCTCATTACATTGGCTTCCTGTTCATTTTAGATTGTTATTTGTTTTTAAAGTATTACATGGTTTAGCACCTATATTTCAGAGCTTTTACACTCTTGCGCATCGAGACCTCTTAGACCTTCTAATAATCGCTTGCTCTTGGTCACCCCCAGATCGAGACCTAAGCATGCTGACAACCAGGCGTTCATGGTGGCTTATGACCACGCTTCCCATGGATGTCCGGTCAGCTTCTGATCTGGGGGTCTTTTGTTCTCAGTTTAAGGCTTATTTATTCATGCAGGCGTTTGAGACAAGCTCCTCATAGGGCTGATAACCAGCCTTTCTAAAACTGTCATTAAACAATGAAACATGTTATAACCTCTCAAAGTCCACAGTTATATAACAAAATTATGTTTTTTAAACTTTAAGTCATATGACACACGAAAGGGAACAGAAAGTGAAACCTGAAAATATTTGGCTTTTATCTGAAACATGGCTAAAAATCTATATCAGACAATAAGGTATTTATAGATGGTTATGGTGAGAGGATTGCAATCTACATAAACACCGCTGGATCTGAAGCTGCTGATGTGTTTACAGATATACTGAACAGATTCACTAAATCAGAGCTAGTTTTACTGGGTGATATGAGATATAATGGGCAGTCATCATCAGACACTTTTTAAGACCTGTGTCACTCTTTAAATCACAAACTTAAAATCAAAGCTGGCCTCTTCTTGGGCTCGACCAAATATAAAAGCACTAGAGAAATTAACTAAGAAATGACTAAGTGCCCTCACAAATATAGTGCAGTTGAAATGATCTGTAACAGTGTTAGCGACCTCTCTACAGTCACGTCAATAAGGAACACCACAATCACTAAAGCCAAACCACATTGCATTACTAAAAGGCATTTTAATCCTTTTAATGAATAAGCATTTTTGTAAGACAGTTACCACAGAGACTTACACAAAGTTTGTTTTCAGATATTGATGAAGCCTTTTCATTCATCCTTTACAAATCTGTGATAAACATGCTCCATAAAAAAAAAGTAGAATTAAAGGGAGAAACAGCCCCCGGTTCTCAGATGACCCCTTGACCTTGCTTCATCAGAGAGATGCTGCTTGGCCAAAAGCTAGAAGGACAAAGTCAGTAACAGACTGGACTCAGTTTAGAGCACTTAGGAATAAATGTACTACAGAAATTAAAAATGTAAAACCAATATGGTTTCTTAATAAGCTTAATGAAAATCTAAATAATCCCAAACAATTCTGGAAATTAATTAAATCTGTCTCTCGATCTACTGCACCTTTGAAACTACCTGAATCTTTCAAAATAAGAAATGCCAAACTCACAGATAAACAATCCCCTGTTGAAGCATTTAACAACTATTTTCTGTCAGTCACTTCTGAATCAAATATGCATGATGCTGTATTAGGAACTCAGGACACAGCTTCTATTAAGTGTAACTCTGAAACAGGTCTTTTCAGTTTTAACTACTCACAAAATCTGAAGTATACAAAGCTTTAAAAACATATACTGCTCTAAATCAGCAGGTCCTGACAACCTTGACCCTTCTTGATTAAAGGCTGCAGTACATTTGACAGCAGAACCTATCACTTTGATTTTTAATGTAAGTCTTACATCAAATTCCATTCCTAAAATATGGAAATCCTCATTTGTGTATGTGCACTGCTCCAGATCGGTGCTCCATCACAGATGAGCAATTATTGTCCTATTTCAAAGCGACTCAGTCTGTTTTGGCTAAAGTTCATGAATCATAATTAACTCACAAATTAATCAGTTTGTGACTAAATATACTCAGTGATGTTCAGTCGGGTTTCAGATCAGGTCATAGCACAATATCTGCAGCAACTGTTACTAATAACATCATTACTGTACTTGACAAGAAACAACATTGTGCTGCTGTTTTTGTTGCTTTATCAAAGGCTTTTGATTCTGTAGATCATCAGATTCTGTTAAATTTCTACTGCTCTGAGACTACGGTGACACATCATCTATATGCGGGCATCAGACTCCTTAGTCCACAGACTTGACCCTGTTTACTGCTCCTCCTTAACGTTTCATTTTAGATGTAGGGACAAGAACCACTGTGATTTATATAGGTTAACTAAAGACTAGTAGACGTACTGTACGCTTCACACATAGCTGTTTAATTTTAAAGCTGTCCTTGGAAAACCTCCTGGGTACCTTTGTGAAATGTTTTCTCTTGCTCCAGGGGCTCAGAGCAGATCGTCAGATGGATCACCTACAGTAAAGCTACAGTCTGCTTCAAGTTCGGAAAAACTGCATTTTCATTTTATGTAAAAATCTACAGGAGAAACTTCAACTGAAAAAAGAGAAGCTATTTAAATGTCATATTACAGAAATACTTCAGGAGGATTGTAACAGTTTTACATGACTTGGTTTTATGCTCATATTTCACAGATCATACTTTATTGTCTAGCGCGTGACTGATATGTAGAGTGTATGTTGTTGTGTGACTCTTTGATGCTGCCATTTTGGCCAGGTGTCTCTACAGAGACCTGCTGGTTAAATAAAGGATAGATAAAATAAAATAAAAACAGGAAACAATGGATGCATTGCACAAATATTTTGGTGAATAACTAAGTCAAAGGGACTGACATGTACACACTATATCCTATACAGCTTTTTAGTGTGTCTATTATTTTATTATATTCCAAGAGCTTCTTGTTTGTTTTTTCTTACCTGCCCTGTCTCTGTGCTTCTCTAACATGTGCAATTCGGGATCAATAAATGATCTCAGCTTATACAGCTCATTTACAACAGTCAATACATTTTAGAGAAAATATCACTTTAAGCAGATTATTTTCTGTCAACATCATGAGGAAATGTTAATTTATGTAGTAGCAAAGATGTTGATACTGAACATTTCAGTAAAATGTTCAATATAAAGACAAAGTATTTAACTTGTTCTCCACCAGAATCTCTGATCTCACAGTCCAACCTCCACCTCTGGCTTTTGAAAATGTTTCTCGGAGCTTCAGGTTCGGCTTAGACAAACATGGAGGTCTGGTTTCATACAGAACCAGTTCACAGTTCCTTCAGACATTTAGCCAGAACCACCATCTTTCCTGAACCTGAACCAAAATCCAGCAAGCAAATATCATCACTGAGTAAAAAGATAAATAAACATGATTTTGGTTTAATATAACTGTAAAGTGAAAATTGTGGGGTTTTTCTGAATAGATTTGAAGACTCACTGAACTTTAAGAAACTCGGTGAAACAGATTAATAAACAGAAATGTTATCTGTAGCTCATATCTCTCCTTTAAACATGGAAAACTGTGAGTGGAGGTTTGGTTCATTGCCTGTTCATATAAACTGCCATTAGTATAAATGTCATTTATAGTTACACAGGTCTGATCAGTGAACTGACACAGATTCTGTGTAAATGGTTAAAACAGATTCAGTGATCTGGTGACAGTCAGTGATCAGCTGATCAATAGATAAAGAGCTCAGTGATGGAAGGAAATAAAGAGCGCTCTGTCTGAGGGTGGAGAGGGGTCATGAGA